AGTCTTGGAAAATAATTCATAACTAACAGGTGTGGTCTCCAACCTCTGGAAGACCCTAAAATAATTACAGATGCACTCTGGGGTTTCCTAGAATTTGCACTGGACTGGCTCCCAAAACTACTCATCATTTTCATCCAAAAAAAGCAGTGAGCAGCTGGGAGTTCTTGGTACTGTGCTAAATAAATCTAGAGAGAATTAGAACAAACATAATCGATGTTGTTTTAATAATCATAACTAGGAAGCAATTTGGGTACAGATGCACATAAATTCATCCGTTCCTTCACTCACTCGTTAATTCATGCACTAAGTCACATATTTACTGAGCACACACTGTGTGCCAACATAACAACATTATGAGTATCCAATGTTGATCAAGATGGAAATTGCTCTAAGTTTTTCTTGATGTGATGTTAATTATTTTTTCACTATCATCATTTCTATTGAAAGAAAAGATCATTATTTCTTAAATTTGAGATTGAGACAAAAAAAAGAATTACAATCTACTTGCTGACAACGATCATTTTAAAACAATTACTGGTTTGGTCATAAAAGCAAAAGCCACTGTATGCCTAGTATGAAGGACGTGAAAGCTTCTACAACTGTTGGAAGGGCTGAGGGAGGGAATGTCTGAGAGGCTCCACTGAATATCTCAGACTCCAGTCCCCAAGCCAGTGGTTCTCAGTTCTCCTGAAGCCACTAGAGTCACAAGATCTCTGGGAAGCTCTCAGCCATTCAGGGCTAGATCTAGGTTTTGTGACACTTAAAGCTAATACAATTTAGAGAACCCCTTTCAAAAAAAAAAATAAATTACAAATACGAAATTGCTAGGGCCACTCCCAGAGTCTTAGAAAAGGTCCAGGGGCCCTGGAATTTAAACTTCATTGCTTCACGGCTAGTGCCCCCTTGCACCAGCTATCTTGGTCGGCAACACAGATGCAGGAGCTCCTCAAGAAGTTCATCAGGAAGCAGCTTTGATGCCCGCGCATCTTTCTGCAACTGACGCTGGAAAATAATGGCCTCCTCTTCTTCTGCCTTCTAAATCTTGAGTGTCTTTCATTCACACATTCCAACCTGGAACTCTATGGGGAATGGGATTCTGGGAAATGTAGTTTCTGCCTTTGAAGAGGCTGGTGAAGATGCCCAATTGACAGGAGACTGTCCAGCATATCACCCCAAGGAAGGAAATGCAATTAATTGACTACAAGGAGGAGGGAGACTTCAAGTCATTTAAGGGACTAGAGCTTAAAGTAAGAAAGCATTGATACGTTGTTATGGCATCTCTGAAACTAGAAAACAGTGAGGTATTAATTTAAACCTGATTGGTGCTAAAAGCAACAGGGAAGGGAAAGGGTCAGTTTGGAATAAAAACGTAGAAAACTAAGAAAGCAAAGGTTTCTCAGGGTGTCTTTAGCGATGTCAAGGGAGAGAGGACCTTGATTATTATGCTCTGTTTGACACTCACTAGTAACGCATTCAGCACATTTATTGATCATTCCCATTAAATGTTAAGGACATAATGCAAAACAAGACAGGAACAGCACCTGTTTTCAAGGAGCTTGTGGCATAGACCAGCACGGTCCCAAATGAAATACAATTCAAGTCCCAAATGTGAGCCACATATGTAATTTTAAATTTCCTAGTGGCTACAATAAAGAAACAAATGAAATGAATTTTAATATATTTTATCTAACCCTATATGTATATATATAACTTCAATTTGGATCTTAACTACATTAAACTCATGGGGCTTACACTTGTTAACTCTCATCTC